TGCCTGTCTGTCTGTCTGTCTGTCTGTCTGTCTGTCTGTCTGTCTACAGTACTGCAGACACAGAGAGAAGCTCCGACTCGTCGTCTGTCTGTCTGTCTGTCTGTCTGTCTGCATGACAAAACAATAGTATTACTATGTCTGTATGTCTCTCTGTTAACCGCTTTGTATTCTATGAACGTTTGTGCGTCTACAGTACTACGGACACCGGGAAAAGCTTCGGCTCATCGGCAAGGAAGATCAACTGGCGGCCATGAACAAGAAGGCCTTGGCTTTGGCCCGAGAGGTTGCCCGGGCAACCGGGACGCTGTTCGCCGGAAACATCTGTAACTCTACCATCTACAACAGGGATGACAAAGAGAGTCAGACCAAGGTCGCCGCAATGTTCAAGGTCAGTTCTGGAAGTAATAGTAGTGACCACAATGATGAGAATAGTTTTATAATGCTAATAAAAATGCTATTATTGATTATAATAAATAGAAAGATAATAATAATAATAATGATAATAATACAAACATCAATTGAATTTATATAGAGCATATCCACACTCTACAGTGTGGTCTATGCGTTTTGCAACTCAGCAGACCTTAGAACAAGAGTCGAAAGTTGTTTTAAAAAAATATTCTCGACTTTCTGTGAAGCATGCAGTGCAAACTGCGGATTACACGCAGTAAAACACTAACAAACTGACAGTATCTTTCGCTGTATACAGTACAGACGAGCAATTTGTGTCGCAACACAATAATATTATAGACTTATTGGTATAGACTCTCATTCTTTAAAATAATATTGTCATTTTTTGGTGTATGTTTAGTTGTAACAACCAACATAATTTGTTGAACAACAAGGGTCTTTAATTTCACAAGCAACTTTGTAATTACTAGACTCTCTCCGAGTCTTGTTGGGACTAAAAAGCTGTAAACAGCATTCTTTCTTTGTCATCCAAATTAAGCGCCCAAACACTTACAAACTGGCAAGATCTTTCACTGACTGTAGCTGGGTACCCATTCCAACCTGGGTGAAGTGAGGGCAATTCGTGTAATGTGCTTTCCCAAGGACACAACGTCGGGCCTCAGACAGAATTCGAACCCACAACCTTACGGTTGCAAGTCTGAGAGCCTAACCATTAGGCCACCGACGTCTCTAAATCGTTAAGCAGCCTTTCTTCTATGTCCTCCAAAGTGTGTCAGCAAGTCGTTATGCCAGTCGTTATATTCTTAGAGTTGGGGTGAATCTGTTTTGAAAAGTATTTTAGTTATAACATTTTACAAACAGCTTTGTACTAACCTTGCTCTGCCCTTGCCAAGTTCAAATCTGAGTAGCCAAAAACAGCCCTGTTTCTTTGTCATCCGCCTGTACAACAACAACAGCAACAACAACAACAACAACAACAACAACAACAACAACAACAACAAATTAAAATACATGTACTTAAATGTTGTGGTCTATTCTTGTATCCCAGGAGCAAGTGGAGTGGTCAGTGGAGGAGGGTGTGGACCTCATAATAGCGGAGACATTCCAGGAGGTTGGGGAGGCGTTGTTGGCCCTGGAGGTCATTCGAACATACGGGAAAGGTCAGTAGAGTGGTCAAACAACAACTCGGAACTAGGTTGGAGAAGGGGTTTTGAAATGGACTGCTGGGTGGCTGGCAGTTGCTCTGGCGAGGTATGCTCCTTCTTTCCCATCAAACATCTATCGTAATTATCTCTACTTCTTTTTGTGTTTGTTATTCTCAGGTAACGATTCTAATCTTTGGCACTTATATGATCTTATTGTGTTGTAATTGCTGCAAATTTTTACTAAAACGAAGTTGTAAGGTATGTGAGCCGGAAGAAGGAGGCGGGCGGGGG